GCAAGGAGGAGGCAAAGGCCCGAGGAGGGAGAAGGGTGGAGAACACTCCTTCCCGCCTGTTTCCTCTTTCCCTGAGCAGCGCCCAGACCACTGCTTCCCTCTGGCAGCAGCAGTTCCCTCCCTGCCTCAGCAGCAGTGCATCCCAGTTTGCAGTTTTGCCGACTCCTGAAGAGCTAGCCATGTCATGATCCCGCAGAGACACCAGCCCTGGCCAGCTGGAGCCCTCTCCACAGAGCTCTGGGGTTCCCCTCCGTGAGGCTCCTCCTCCAAGCTTCCAAATTTTAATAATTCCAACTTCTTTCTTTGCTCTCCCAGGCTGAAGGGTGATAGCTGCTTCCCGAGGTTGCTGCCTTGCATAGACGCCTTAGAGTTTGCTTTGTCTCGTTGCACTTACCTAGATAACAGTTCTTCATCTTGAATCCTCTCTGTTAAAATAACTGGGAGGTTTCTGTCTCCTGATTCAGCCCTGACTGATACACTGGCAGAGCTGGGCTCCAAGCCCAGGTCTTCTTTCTCATGGTTCAGGTCTCTTTGCGTTGGGACTCAATCAATGTTTGTTCAATTAAAGGAATGAGTAGAGGTGAGTTCTCCATTCATCAGTTCTAACTTAATGAGAGGGACTTTAACTATGGCGCTAGCACGGGGCTTCCCAACCTTTTAACATGTTGGCACACACAATAACAACCACATTTATACAGCCCTTGACTTGGGGAAATGCACAAGGTTGCTTGAGGTCTCATCCCTTATCCAGGCCCACCTGGCCACAGTAAGAAGTGAGAGGACTGACATTTAGGCACACTCATCGTCTGTCTGCAGACCAGCGAGCCACTGACCTACTGTTTGTGGACAAGTGTTGACCTAATCAAATGCCCTCATTTTACAGATGATGAGCCTAACACGTAGAGAGTTTAGGTAACTTGCCAAAGGTCAAAGAGTTCCAGCATCTCAGTGCTTCATCCTGCCGCAGGTTAGCCCAGGTTACTCACTAGACCAGAATTCCTCTTGGGAAGAAGAATTCTTTGAGAAAGGAGCTTGATGTTATCTGTGTAGGTGTCGAGACTTGGCACAAGCCAAAGCTCAGTAAGACGAGATGGTTACGTTGCTCCCCATGTGACAAGGAGAGTAATTAAGGTTTCGTTCCTGGGGTAGAAGGTCAGAGGACGGGACATCGGGCAGAGAAAGGAAGGGAGGAAGATGAATCTGGGAGTTTGTGTGAGAAAGAAAATAACTGGGGCGAAGGGCCAGTGGGACGCCTCCTGAAATGGGTAACTATGGACATTTGAACACCAGGAATGCCTGATGTCATTTGGCAATTGTTTTCTTTCATTGTAGTGCAAAGCCCTCCTCTCTCTTCCCCCAGAACCTTCAGTACTGTGTACTGCAGTCAGGAATGCCTGGGGAGCGTTTGTTTTGCTTTGTTTTGTTTTTGGCAGAGGCTTGAGGGGTAGCACTTGGGGAAGGGGCTGAGCCTTATCCACAACATGTCAGAGCATATGGAACAGAGGCTGCATAAAGAAGTAGGAGCCTGAGAGTCCACAAAAATCTTGGCAATTCATGAAAGTCTTGGAGTGGACTTGGGAGATCCACTAGGCACGGACTTGAGCTTGAGTCTGAAGGGGCAGGGAGACCCCAACTGACATCTGGGTAAACTTAAAACCCACAAAAACAAAATTGGGATCATATGCTCTTTTTGAAGCTTACTTTTCCCCCCATATAACAGTAACAGATCAAGAACACTTCCCCATGCCTACAACATCATATTTAATAGCTGCAGTGGACACTAGGCTGTTTCCAAGTTTTAGCTGTTTAAAAACACACACCTTATATTCTATAGTTCATCTCTGCATGGGATGGTTGAGGAGGTTGCAGAGTGAAATTGCTGGAGGTTGGGTTCGCCTGCCCTTGGTTCAATCAAGCAGGAAGGTATTTAAACCAGAGAATTGTGAATGGGGGACGGACTTAAGGGTCAGCTCAGCTGGGCAGGGTCAGGACAGAGCAAGCAATGAGGTGGCACAAGCAATTGGGGCGTGGAACAGAGGACTGGGTGGACAGGGACACAGAGTGGCCAGAGGAGGTAGGAAGGGCTGCAGCCAAACCAAAGACAGAGGATAGCTCTGCAGCCCTGTGTTGCCTTTTAATGGGGAGACCAGGGTAATTATGTCCTAGCCTATTTGGGACAATCTTAAAGGGTCTAGCTAATCAGCTGGAATGTGGTTCTTTGGGGACAGTGGCCAGGTAGCTTTGGGAAGTGTTACTTTCCAAGTTATAAACCTCTAAACCAGGACCTGGGATAATCATGCAATTTATGGGTCTGCTTGAGTATTTCCGGTGATGGGAAGCTCACTACTTCCTGAGGCGTCCCATCTCGAGAGAGGATCTGGGTCACTGGAAAGTTATTTCTATTGCTCCACAGTCTAGATCCCACCCACGATTCTGTGACGTATTCCCCCAAGGCTCTGAACAATGCTGACATCACCAGGCATGGGCTGGGCAATGGCCAGTCTAGTTGACTTTACGGACCATCGTCTCAGGTGGGGCCACAGGCCTTTACCCAAGGGCCAGCCTAAATTTGCCTTGTTCTCAGATGACACTGAATCAGCACGTTCCCTCATTTTCACAGCTGCTTAGTGGTAGCTGACACCCAGCCAGCCTACAGCTGACCACAGACACATGGCGGATCCCAGCTCACACCAACAGAACCACCCAGAGGAGCAGCCGAGCCCAGCTCAAATTGCCAACCCACACAATCAAAAGCTAAATAAATGGCTCTTGTTTTAAACCACCGAGTTTGGGGGTGGTTTGTTACGTAGCAAAAGCTAACGGACACGATTCCCCCAGAGGCTCCATCTAGCTTTCCTTCACACCGGCCTGCACCCGACTCTGGCAGGCCACCGTGAGCATCTGAGCACCGGGTCACCAAGGTTGCCACGTGAGGGAGGATTTAGGAACGGGCCCAACCCCTTTCCACTGTGGAATGACCGTTTACAAGCACGGCCCCTTGGCTGGTGCCACCAGTGTCACCTTGGCCCATGCCTGTCGCTGGCTGCAGAGCGTGCCCCCCTCCCTGGGGATGAGCACCTGAGCGTCCCGCTCTGGAGCAGCAGGTGGAAACGGGACGTGCATACTGACATGCAGCGAAGGCTCTGCCCTGCTAAAACAGACACTGGATGACACGTTCGAAGATAAGGCTCGCCTCCATGGCAATTTCCACACCGTCTGTCTCAGCAGACGAGATGAGCAAAAACCATACTTCTTATGAAAACAAGCTGTTGTAACCCACAAAAACTCAGACACCAGTTTGAATGCCAAAGCTGAACTGCGCTGTCATTTTTGGAAATCAAATACAGTGTCAGCATAATTGAGAACCGTGGGTTCGGGGAGTGGGGAGGGAGGGTGGAACAGAGGCGGGGAGGCTGTTTCGGTGCCAACAGCGCGGCAGAGATCTTGGGAGAAGGGGGGGGGCAAGCCAACCCAAAAAACAACAAAACCCGAAAAAACAACAAGAAGAAAAAACGAGTAAAACCAAAACAAAGGAACCAAAAAAACCCCCCTCCAAAGAAAACAAAAGAACCCGCAAAAGCAAGTAATAAAACCTAAAAGTTTAACCAAAAATAGGCAATTTTGTTATTTATTAATAAATAGAAAATACCTTTTTAAAACCCCTGTTCCACAGACAAGCTTATTGTAAATTTATCCTTAAAAAGTCGAGGACAATAATAATTATTATATCATTTAAATATCCTTATTATACAGGACTTTGTTAGGTCCCATTTGACCAGTCTACACTTCTCCCCAGCAGTAGCAAGAAAAGCATCTTAATCATCTTTGCCTGTCTTTAAGGTAGCTTTTGGGGTAGCTGGAAATGACGGAGGCATCCTAGCCGCCTGCCTCCCAATATTTCATCCCGCAGTGACATAAAGCAATGAGAAGAGACAAGCAAACACCCAAAAGGCAGGCCTTCTATAACTTGAAGATGGAATAAAAACAGAGAATTTTGGCCATGTGCAGTGGCCTATTCCTGTAATCCTAGCACGTTGGGAGGCTGAGGCGGGAGGACCGGCCTGAGCAAGAGCGAGATTCCGTCTCTATGAAAAAATAGAAAAATTATCTGGGCGTGGTGGCGCATGCCTGTAGTTCCAGCTACTCAATAGGCTGAGGCAGGAGGATCGCTTAAACCCAGGAGTTCCAGGCTGCAGTGAGCTATGACGATGCCATGGCACTCCAGCCTGGGCAACAAAGTGAGACCCAGTCTCAAAAAAACAAACAAACAAAAAAACAGAGAAGTTTAAACACTCTTCATAACAACTGTTAATAAAAAGAGGAAAGTCAGAAAAATCCCAGATTTTTTTCATGCTCTGCCCCTCCCCCCCACACACACACACAGCAGGGTTTGCAGAGAAGAGAGGCAGGCCCAGCACTCTGGAAACCCAGAGCCAGTGAAAGGAGCCTAAGTCAGCCTAGAATTATTGTCAGATGATAAGTTGACCCAAAATAAGAAAACTCTTTAAAAAACCACCCTGAACAGGTCGCAGCCAGGAAAAGGATTCAAAGCACAGGGAATTTAAAGGGACAGGCACAATATAAAGGGCAGCCTTCACCATGCCAGGGTTCTGGGGGAGGAAAAAGGCAAAGACAGCAGCAGAAGAAGCCCCTGTGGTAACCAGGTGTTTGTCTCAGCCCATTGTCTGTTACAATGGCTACAGCAGAATTCCACAGGCAGGATAACTTAGAATAAAAAGAAATTTATTTCATGCAGTTCTGGAGGCTGAGCAGTCCAAGGTCAAGGGGCTGCATCAGGCGAGGGCCTTCTTGCTGGGGGGACTCTCTGCAGAGCCCCAAGGTAGCTCTGAGCATCACGTGATGAGAGGGCTGCAGCATGCCTACTGGCTTTTACACCAGACCCACTTTCTCGATAACTAACCCCATGATGACCCATCAATCCATTGATCCATGAGCGGATTAATCCCTTCATGAGAACAGAGCCCTCCTGGCCCACTCACCTCTTAGAGGCCCCACCTCTTAGTACGGTTACAGTGGGGATTAAGTTTCAGCATGACTTCTGGAAGGCACAAACATTCAAACCATAGCAGTGTTGAGTGGGGAAAAGAAGGAAAAAGAGAAAATTTAGAGTCCTACAAGAAGAAAAGAGAACCGCAAAATCAGGAACCCTCCTGCACCCCACCACTAAAAACACGGCCTCTGCACAGACACAGTAGGTTATTGCTAAACTACGAATCCTGGAAAACATTTCAATGCTAGAAAAATGGGCAAGAGGAAGGTCAATCCATACAGAGCAATTGAAAAAAATCCAGGAGACAATATTTCATACATAGCACCTGAGGGAAATCTTCCTCACAGCCCAAGAGCATCTATGAGGCAGAGCAAAATTGTAAGTCAGCACTGCAAACACAATTAAATACTCGCAAATAAGCATTTGAGTATATGTAAAATGCCTTGAATCAGAAACTCAAAAATGCAAATAGAAATGGACAAAAATCAGGGAGGAGACTGCCAATTGAACTCAGGAAAGAAATACAGGAAAAAGACAAAATTATCTCAGAAATCAATAAATCACAAAGTGCCTGGGGGAGAGTAGCTTCAGATAAAAATTCAATAAAAGGCCTTGAAGAAAATCAGGAAGGCAATGAAGAGGATGAGAAATGACATAAAGAAATAAAAAGAGTCAGAGAGAAAGTACGAAAATAAAAGACAGGCCAAGAAGAGTAATGGCATGTCTGAAATAAAAATAAAACAATGGAACAGAGAAAATATTTAAAACTTTGATCCAAGAAAACTTTCCAGAAATAGAAAAATACCTGAATTTACATATTGAAAGGACTCACTGGATATCTGGGAAAATTAACCCAGAACAATCAATTCCATATCCTAGAAAACTATTAGATTTCAAAGATGAAAGATAACTTACGAAACCAAAAGGATTGTTGATAGACAGACATCCTATTTTTTGAAAACCAATACATAAGGCAAGACAACAAGGGAACAGTATTAAAAAAAAAAAAACAAAAAAACACACAAAACTCCATGAATTAAAGTGTGAACCAAGAACACCAGCCAAGGTATTCTTCGTATTTCAAGGCTAGAGAAAAACAATTTTCAACCTACAGTAACTTACTAATTCTGCACCCAAAGTCCTTGTTGAGCAATCTACTAGATTATATGCTGGGAGAACTAGTAAAAGGACCAAGGGGGAGAATTTTAAAATGTGTAAATGTACATCTAGGACTAAAATGAGGGGAGGGGGTAAGGATGGAAGGCCAATGCACAAACATGATTTGGTTTAACAAACTAGAAATAATTCACCTAAAACATTGGAAGGAGAGAGAGAGAGAGGAAATTTAGAATAAGCTCATTGTTGTATAGGCAATAGATGGGTGTTAAAGGGTATTGGGGGAAAATAAATGCCCTGATAAACCAGACAGTGAAAGATTAAATAAGACAACAGGGGACTAAACACATTTTAAAAAGGCAAAAGAACAATACCACTAGAACAAAAATAGAAACCTTATTATAAGAGAAAGAAACAAAGCAAATACAACAAAACACACATAATTATAAAATGTCGTGCAAGAGTAGAGACCAACACGTTAGTCACATCAGTAAATGTGAATGGACTTCAATCACCTTCTAAAAGGAAATTTTTCAATTTGGCTCAACAAACAAGACCTAACTATATGCTGTGTACAAAAGATATACCTAAAACCAACTGAATCAGGAAGGCTAAAAATAAAGAGAGGGATAAAGATATACCAGGCAAATGGAAACTAAAAGAAAGCTGGGGCAGTGGTCCTGACATCAGACAAAGTAGAATTCAAGTCCAAAAACATTGCATATAAGAAAGAAGGAGGCTTTTTTACGTTAAAAGCAAAAATTTACAATGAATATATAGCACTCAGCAATGTATATCTACCAATAGAGCAACCACGTTTATGAAGCAAAAACTAAAGAAAATGCAAGGAGAAATAGAAACACACCAATAGGTGTGGTGATGCGCTTCTGTAGTCCCAGCTACTCAGAAGGCTGAGGTGGGAAGACCTCCTTGAGCCCTGCAGTTCGAGACCAGCCTGGGCAATATAGCAAGACCTCATCTCTAAGAAAAGGAACTCCTATAATCGTGACAAAAATAGTTTGCAGGAAAAGACAGGTGTAATAGTGGAAGAGATAGGAAATTTCTGGAGGGTGCATTTGGTGAAAGATATAGGAGAATATGAACACTCTGGGGGGAAAGATGGAAAAATGCCTTGAGAGATATATCAACCAAAAGGAACTCATGCTTAGATCTTGCTTAGATCCTGATTTAAATAAATCAATTGTTTTTGAAAAATGAGACAATCAGAAATATTTGAACACTGACAAGATTAAGGAATTATTATTTATTTTTTTAGGTATGATAAGGATACTGTGGTTGTACCCATACAAAAGAGTCCTGTCTAGGCTGGCGCCGTGGCTCACGCCTGTAATCCTAGCACTCTGGGAGGCCAAGGCGGGCGGATTGCTCCAGGTCAGGAGTTCGAAACCAGCCTGAGCAAGAGTGAAACCCCGTCTCTACTATAAATAGAAAGAAATTAATTGGCCAACTAATATATACAGAAAAAATTAGCCGGGCATGATGGCATGTGCCTGTAGACCCAGCTACTTGGGAGGCTGAGGCAGCAGGATTGCTTGAGCCCAGGAGTTTGAGGTTGCTGTGAACTAGACTGACGCCACAGCACTCACTCTAGCCTGGGCAACACAGTGAGACTCTGTCTCAAAACAAACAAACAAACAAACGAGTCCTGTCTTTTAGAGATATATCCGTAAATGTTACTGATTGAATGATGGAATTATTTGCTTTACAACAATCCAGCAGTGGGGAGAGGAAGGCACATGTCAGTGGAAAGTGGAGTAATAAATGAGATAAGATTGGCCAAAGGCAGGTAATTGTTGAAACCAGTAACGGGTGCAGGAGGATGCTTATAATATTCTCTCTACCTTTGTGTACACTTGAAAAGTCCATAAGAAAATATTAAGAAAGAAAAGGAGAGAAGGTGGGAGGGAGGAAAAGAAATCCTTCCTCACTCCTTTGTGACTGGGGCCCAATCCTGGCTGAGCCCATCTCTGGCCTGTCAACGGTGGGCTTTTGGAATTAGTTTATCTCTCCCTAAGCAGGCATCAAACAGTCTGCCAGTAATTTAGGCTACCAAAGTAAGCTCGCTTTGATCTGCATTTTCCTGTTGCATTTCAGACCTGGGACCCAGTGCCTCCAGCGGACCTCTGAGTCCCACTGTTGTTCGCGGGTCCTGGCTTAGCCGTTCTCCCTCATCCATGCTGGCTTGGGCCCTTGCACCACGTGTCTGACCACTACTCCCGGCTCCTAGAACTTGGGCCCGAGGACCGATCTGGCCGCGTATGAACACATCTCTTAAAGGATAACTTCCTGAATTCCATGCTACTGACCAAAGCTCTGTAACTAAAGGCTGATGGCCTGCGGGCGTTGTTTCTTTTCTCTCTAGCGGCTTCTCCAAGGCTGGCATCTGCCTGTGTGGAGGGCCATTTCCCACACCTGTTGACTAGCTTACGTCACCCTGAGTCTCTTTGTTTACACTGCACGAGGAGGCGGCCGCGTTTGCCAAAGCACTGACAGTCCTGAGCTGTAAGGCAGGCTGGGGTTGGGGTGGGGAGCCACACTCCACAAACGCCAGACAGGGGACCTTCCGCCAGGCAGTGCAAACAGTCATGTCACCAAATGCTCTTCAAACAGCCGGGACACATGAGACGGTGATCTTGTGACCGACCCGGATCCCAGGGTTGGTTGTCTCATCTGTTTGCTATGAAATACAAGCGGCGAGATCACTTTGTCAGATTCTAACTTTTAAACCTCATTACTGGTCTCAGCAGAAGCCTGTTCCTAGGAATCATTTTCTGAATAACCCAAAGTGAATATAGAACCATGTTTCCCCAGCTCAGAGAGTCATCTACAAAATCATGTCCCCTCAAAATGCAAAGTTTGGCCCCACTTACAAATGACCACACCTCCATACCCTTCAAAGTCCTTTCACATGCAAATGAGCACCGCCAGGAAGAAATATACCTTCCAGCCCTGAGTCCTGCAACTCAGGGATTTAATACACAGTAAAGGCAGCTACTCTGAGGAGGGCAGGGCTTGCATATTTCTTTGGAGCCCCAGAGTACTGGGACACAAGCAATTTGTGTCATTCCTGAGCTTTCTGTAAGCTGCTGACTACACTGAGTTAGCTCTCTTTGCTTCAACATTAGCCAGCGTTGCTGGGTTTAACCTCGTCACAGTTCTGGCACGGAGCTCTGCTGAGGCTGTTCCCTGACTCGAGTGTGGAGCAGAATTTCCCCTTTTTAGGTCACAAACTCAGAGTAGTCACTTATCACAGCGCCTCTCCCAGCCGTGTCAATTTTAAACACCTTATTAATAACATTTATGAAACGCTGGCAGGGTGGCAACTCTCTTGAGTTGCTCCTGCTATACACGGGCATGACACAAGATTGAAACACAGGAGCAAACTTGCCCCTGCAGCCAGGGATTTTACAAACACGTTGATAGCCACCTCTTCCAAACACAGCTAAAGTTAAGGACCTCAGGACAAGGGTCACAGTGGATTGTCTGGTGACCCACACGGGGTGCAGACAGCCCCCAGGGCACAGCCCTCCTGTGTTGGTTTCTAGGGCAGTGTCTGGCTGGGGCCTCAGGGCCCCACACCTGGAGTCTCGGTCCCATGCCCTGCGTTTGAGGGTGGGATGGGACCTCCTGTGCTGAGATGGACAAGTCTCCCCTGGGCTTGTGGCCTCCTTGGGAATCAGAGCATTGGACCAAGATCAGCATCACAGTGAGTCTGGTTTCTCACTGGCCAGTCCTCCACAGGCTCCTTGACTGCGTTCGCCCTGGCTCTCTCCCTTCCCTGTTAGCCGCTGGGGCTGTCCCCTACCGCAGCATGTCCCTGGCCATTAAGTATACACTCGTGCATGCAGCTAGGAACCCCATCATTGCAACTCAGCTTTCACTTCTCCACTCCCATGAAACCACACACATGAGCCATGGCTTTGGAGGGGCTGCCTTTGATCTCTACTCTGCAAGGGCTCATCCGTCCCCCACCCACCCACCTCCTTACTGACTGCGGGGTCTTGACCCACCACACCAACCCACCTCCTAGGCCCTGCTAATTGCACCAGGGGTAGATTCTGGCTTAAACTCGGCCAATCAGGTTTTCTGTCTTGATATTTGATCTCGGCCCTGGAAGTCAATCCAGGGAGGCCCTAGTCACCCAGCAATGAGGACTGGAAGCCCTGATTGGTGGCAGAGAAGCCCAGAGCCTGTGCATCCTGCTTGGGGAGGGGAGGGACCGGACCAGGAGCCCTGCAGAGGAGAGGGGTCCACCTCCAGACAGCAGGAACCCCGTGGTTGCTGAGAAGCAGGGGTGGGAAGAGTTGTTGCAGCCCAGAGCTATGTCTGCTCAACAAATGCCCCCATTTGGAGTGGGTTTGTTTCTTGCAACCAAATATTCCCCGATTGAAACCACTCTCAAAAGTTGCTCATGACCCCAAGATTGTAGCCTTGTCTCAGTAGTCATCCTCTTTCAGCAGCTCTGCAGCACCTGACACTGCCCCCACCTGTCTCCTCAAGCCACTTTCCACCTGTGACTTTCCTGACAAGTGCTGCAAAATCCTGCTCTCTTCCGCCTTTCCCAGAGCCTCCTCCCACCCTCTCGGCAAATCTCACCCTCTCAGCAATATCATCCATGATCGTCAGGATTCAGTCAGGATTCAGCCTTCGAGAGCCGAGAACCTCTCCCTCTTGAAATGTAAATCCACCCCTCAAGCCAGCCCCTCTCTTGCCCTTCCCACATTTGGAGGCCCTGGGACCATCACTGGTACTTCTGCTCCTGGGGGTGACTGCCTGCTCAGCGTCTGTCCCCGCCAGACCAGGAGCTCCAGGAAGGCAGGGATTACAGCAGCATGGAGTCCAGCCACACCCTCAGCCCCAGGAGCTGGTACATTAACTACCTGGGGTCACTTCAAAGTGTTTGCTTAGTGAAATGAAAAAAAATGAAGGTTATCTTAAATGTTTCCTTCCACTTCATTCCTCTTGTCTCTCCCTATGCAAGCACTCTCCAAGCCCTCTACATTCCTCCTTTGCAATGTCTCTTCCACTGTCCCCTTCCTCTCCCTTCCCTCTGCTTTTGCCACTGAATCTACCCATTACAGTATCCGCAGAAGCAGGCAGATCCCCCTGCTCACAGTTAAACCTGACAAGCGGAATTCTGGGAAGATGGCGGCAGCAGAGTTTTCAGATTTTTACAAGTCCCCTCAGATTTAGACAGAGCAACTAGATAGAAACCCTAAGACCTATGAATGACATTTACAGCAAAGGTAGGCCTTGTTAGGTGTCCCTTGAACCTGCCTGGTGCTGGCGTCTGTGCAGGAGGAAGCAACAGCGCACTGTCAGCTAGACCTGAGAGCAGGAAAATCCCCACAGAGCCCACAGGTATTCACAGAAAGCATGGCGGGCTGATTTGGGAACAGCAGGTAAAACCGGGAGGAGTTTTGCCCCCTATACACACACACACACACAACACATAAGCGATATTACACGATAGACTATAAGTTGTGTGAGTGGGATAAACAACAATGTCAATCTGTGCATTTCTGTCTTATGGAATATAGTATAAAACAGTGTAGGCACAAGTTCTCTCTCTCTCTCTCTCTCTCTCTCTCTCTCTCTCTCTCCTGTGTCCTACCAAGTCAAACTCAGAAACACAGCTTTTGTCAAGGCCGACTAGCAGCTTGAGTTGGCAGCTGTGACATGAGAAGCATGTCCTATTAGGTCCTTGTGAGAGCCTAGAGAAATACTTATGCAAACATGGCAAGGTCAACACAATCACACGTTTTAAAATAACTTCTCCCATAATGTCTTGGCATATTAGGGATTTCTCTCTTAACATCATTCTGCAGGAATCATAAACGCTTGACAATAACAATTTGCAGTGGGCAGAACCAGACCGAGGACAGAGGCAGAAGAAATCCCAGTAACCATCTAGTCCAACCCCTCATTTTATAAATAAAGAAACTAAGGTCTAGATTGATGGGGCCATATTCCACCAACAGTAACCAGTAATGTACTAGAAAGAAAAAGCCGTGCAGTTCATTTGGCCTAAGAGACAATGGGGGGGGAGGGGAGATGCAGATGTGCCTTTAATTCACCTTGGAAGGAAGGAAGGAAGGAAGGAAGGAAGGAAGGAAGGAAGGAAGGAAGGAAGGAAGGAAAGGAAGGAAGGAAGGAAAGAAGAAGAGAGAGAGAAGAGAAGAGAGAGAGAAGAGAGAAGAGAGAGAAAGAAGAAAGAAAGAAAGAAAGAAGAAAGGAGAGAAAGAAAGAAATGCAATCACTCCTCTAAGTAGCCAAACCGGTTTAAAGCCACAAGCTGATCAAAGGAACAAACTATGGGTGTGAGACTGACTTACCCAGTGTCCCCCCAGCAGGGACAGCCCCTCTCCCTGAGGTTACGCTTCAGCACTGCCCTCCGCCTTCGGTCTGTCTTCCCCAGGATCACATGGAATTGTTCTATAAATGTGTACTGGCTTAAGGTTGGGAACGCTGGCCTGTGAGGCAGTGGAGTGTAAGCAATCTGACCCAGGCCAGGCGGCAGCTTTCCAGAAGGCTCTGCAGCCTGGAGGGAGATGGTAACAGGGAGCAGAGAGCCCGCAGGTAGCACTGGCCTCCAGCTGTCTGCCTTTTTCTCACTCTAAGTCTATTTTATTTGGGATCAGAAGCCAGTGTCAACTACCTTGGGCTGCGAATTAATTTGCTTGGAGCAGTTCTATATTTTTGGCTGGGACTAGCCACTTTTCAAAACAAAGCAAGCTTAAAAAAAAAAAAAAGCAATAAATGAGTGGTGCTTCTGGTAACCAGGAACAGGTGACTGACAGCCTCTGCTGACCTCACAGTATTGAGTAGTCCTTCCTGGAAGGTCAATTTGCTCCCTTCAGAAAGGGAGAACAAGCAGCTACCGTGAGAACAATTCTAAATAACAAGTCATCTCAAATTCCATCATTACTTAATGAATTAAAGGTGCAGCAATACAGTGGGAAACTGAGCAACTGTTAGGAAGGGTGTGGAGCTCTTTATATACCTGCACTGAAAACGCTCCAAGATACATCAAGTGAAAAAAATTAAGATACAGAACACTGTGTGTGGTATGCTCTTATTTGTGTAAAAAAAAAAAGAAAAGAATGTAAATTTAGTGTATATACTACATGTATATAGTATATAAAGGCTATGATCTAAATATAACCATATAATATACTATTATATAAATGACTCTGGAAATTCAAGAAACTAGTAACAATGGCTGGGCTGGGGAACAGGGAAAGAGGACTATCGTCTCCTCTCATATTTTTCTTTTCTAGGCTAGGAATTTTATCTCATGTGACTACAGTAATTTTTCAAAGAAAATTTAAAAATTAATCTAATTTTCATCAGAAATGCTTAATGTTTAAAATTACTCTTCAGAGTGCTGATTTCCACTGACTGTAACTCATTCTTTTTCATATATTTAAAGGTTTTGATCGAGTCATTTTCCTTAGGAAGATAAAGTTTTATAAGAACTAAAACCCTATAATGCCCACGGGCCTCCCACAGAGTTTTGAAGGAAGAGCCTAAGGTTGGATGTTTAGTCCTGATTCATCTTCTTTCTAGCAGTGACTTGGATCAATTGCCCAAACGCTCAACACCTCCCATACCCCCTTCTTCATGAGCATAACCGGAACAAGATGATGTTTATAAAAACCCTCCAAAAAATGGAAGATCCCTATTCAGCAATTGACTTGTTCAGGGCAATCACATTTTCTAACTTTTTTTTGAAGTTCTTGAGTAATTCAACCTAAATAGTTTAAGTCAAATGTTCCTGTAGGAACAAGCATAAAAGTAAAGGGAATACTTTCGAGAGCCCGTATCTACAACCATCGTGGTATATTTTCACCTTAGCGTTTTCAGCTCTTAAAAACCTTAAGTTTTCAGAATTTTCTCAGAACCACCTCTCGTATTGTACAGACTTTTCCCCAATGAACAGCCTGGCACTGTCCCGGCCCGAGGGACCTTCTGTTACTTGCGGGGGCGAGGGGGACCGTGCCTGAAAGAGATGGGCGAGAGAAAGAAACGAGACCAAGCAAAGGGTTGTCAAGGTCTGCTTTACTTAGATTCTTAGTAGGTTTTATAAGCATACAGAAACAAGGAAGTAAAACAGAAAAAGAGTGGGGCACGATGAGGCTTGGGTCTGGGTTAATCAGCCCAATCAGCGTCTTACCGGTATCCTGTTTTTGACTGCTTACTCAACTCCAACCTGGCAGGTGGTCGGGAACAATTGCAGGTACATCGCCTCGGAGCAAGCACGTCAGGGAATGCATTCTTGGAACTATAGCTGGGATTTTCCAGGGCGAAGTCAGTGCGTAGGACAAGTCATAGGGGAGTTGAGGGTCTTTGAGGGTCCTTGCCTCTAACATGGCACATTTGTGACGGGCTGTTTGGAGGATCATTCATGGCTTTCTAGCATATGTAACTCCTGTTCCCACTTTATTGATCCAGGGACATTTCTTCATCCTCCCACTAGTACCAACACATAACACTTGGGCGAATTGCTTTGAGATATAAAAAAGTTTTTAATTACGATAAATCAACAGCCAAGGCTCTGATCCCTGTAAACAACATTGTGGCTCCCACAATGCTGGTGGAACCGCAGACCCTCTGTTCCGCTGAAGTGTCGCCCCCACATGGCAATAGGGTGCGTGGTTTCTGTCACTCATCCAGCCCTCAGCTTTGAAATTATTCTTGACCGACACATTAATGAATGAATAAAAGCAAAGCTTTTTTCTTTTTTTTTTTAATTTGGTAGATTTGAAGTATTCAAGATTTGCTCATAAAGTCCAGTTTTTATTAATATTTTTTATTTCATGTAACATCATATTTGCCCCATTGAAATTCACATGAAGACAAGCCTTGCTGAAAATTCCGAGCATGTGGCGGAGAACACGAGGAAAAAACATCTCCCAGCGCCAGCGCTAAGTATGCTGATTATTTAAAATTTCTGAGGGGAAAAATAAATTCAAAGTCATCTTTTAGTATGACAGTAAACAGGTAGATTTATAAAAATAAAAAAAGATACTGTTTAAGGTTCATTATCTCACACACGCAGATATGGGGATGGGAAACTCCCATTACTGAAGCAGATAGAACAACACAAATTTAATCCTGTCCTTCAAGATACTTCTTTACAAGTGATACAAAGAGTTTTTTTTAAAAAGGAGCCGAGACTGACAAGAGCTGTCCCATGTCTGTGGATGATGGAACATCGGAGGGAGGGCTGGGAATTGAGGGGCTCAGCTTAGCGTGGTGGGGCGGGGAGAAGGGGCCCAGCCCCAAATACCCTGCAGACCCAGGCTGTCTCGAAACACAGATAACAATGGAAGGAGCAGAACTTGGGGCTGAAAATTAAAAGTAAGCATAAGTGGAGCCTAACCTTTGCCCCATCCCAGTACCGCCAACCAGGCAAAGCAAAATCAAAACAAGAACAGAATATATCTCCTTATATTCTGCTAAATTTAAAAAGTCAATAGAAGGTTGAGGTAAACCTTGTAAAATTCTCAAAAAAATGAATAAAGGAAGCATTTTCTAAAATGAAAAATATTAGACGGCTTTGGAAGATAACAATCCACTGGCCAGGTCTCGCCATCTGAGGTGGCAGGAGATGCAGACACGAAACAGAAATGTAGGAGGAAGAATGCATCAAGGAAGTGACATAAGAATACTTCCCAAAGGTGAAATAGATGAATCTCCAGTTTGAAAGGGCTCCCAGGTGCCGAGCACAGTAAGTAAAAATCTCTCTCATAGTTCTGTGGGTCGGTTGGGTTCAGCTAGGCGGTTCTTCTGTGGGGACAGTGCTCTTATGTGGCTGCAGTCAGACAACAGGTAGAGCAGGAATTATCTGAAGGCTTGTTGGGCTGAACATCCAAAATGTCTCATGCACATGGCTGGCAGGTGATCTAGGTTTTGGCTAGGAGCTCATCTGTGGCCTACACATGGCCTCTGCCTATGCCTTGAGCTTCTTATAGCATGATAGATGGGTTCAATGAGTAAGTGTTCCAACACACAAACACTAGAGGCTGCCAATCTCTTATGGCTTGGATCTAAAAACTGGCACAGCGTCATTTCTGCTGTATTTTATTGGTCAGGTGGTTACAGGTCCCAGATTAAGAGGGAGGAGACATAGACACCACATTTTGATGGGAGGAATGTCAGAGAATTCGTGGTCATCTTTAATCCACCACCTACCCTAAATGTTTCCAGAAAACAAAACAAAACTGATAATTTACAAAGGGGTCCGGAATGTGCCACGGTGGCATAAGGATTATTTTGTGAGCTGAAGACATTTGAGAATCAAAAAATGCAGCAAAAGACTTTCTCCAAACTACCTTTATCTGTCTAAAAGCAGATCCTCCAAAAAAAGAACTCAACTGTCATAAATCCCCTTGCTGCGACTTTCATCAACAAGGGAAGATTGACTCTTATCAGACAGAAGAGATTAGAAGTTAGCACCACACCCAGACGGACTATGCCACAAACCCCCGGGTCCTCCTGAGGCCCATTCATCTTTCAACATTTCATCTGCCCTCCCAGAATTGGCCTTTCTCCACCTTCCTTCCCCCTATTAGAATATAAGCTCTCATGTTTCACTACTCTTTTGGGTATACACTTCTTTCTACTATGCTCCTGAGCAAATAAAATTAAAAATTAGTAATTTTGGCCGGGCGTGGTGGCTCACACCTGTAATCCTAGCACTTTGGGAGGCCGAGGCGGGCGGATTGCTCAAGGTCAGGAGTTTGAAACCAGCCTGAGCGAGACCCCGTCTCTACCAAAAATAGAAATAAATTAATTGACCAACTAAAAATATATATACAAAAAATTAGCCGGGCATGGTGGCGCATGCCTGTAGTCCCAGCTACTCGGGAGGCTGAGGCAGGAGGATCGCTGAGCCCTGGAGATTGAGGTTGCTGTGAGCCAGGCTGACGCCACGGCACTCACTCTAGCCTGGGCAACAAAGTGAGACTCTGTCTCAAAAAAAAAAAAAAAAAAATTAGTAATTTTGTATGTCTTTTCCCCTATTAATCCGTCTTTTGTCAGGTTAATTCACAGTCTCTCCTGCCCCCAGCTGCTGAACCTAAAAAGATACAGGAAAAGATTTTCCTACCCTACACTTGCAAAGGAATGAGACTCAGAGCCAGACTCCTTTTCTAGCACTTTCCCCCTGTGTACTACACTCCAGCTGCATGTGCCTTCCTCAAATTTCTTGAATGTGCTAGACTCATCTTAACCTCAGAGACTTTTCTTTGCTGTTGCCGTTGACTACAACATGATTTCCCTGTATCTCTGCACGATGCATTCCTTCTCATGATTCAAGCAAGTATCATCTTAAATGTCACCTTCCCAGAAAAGGCCCATCATATCTAAAATAATTCCCTGTCCCCATTTGTACCCTAGCCTTATTTAAATTCTTCATAGCACTTATAATTATCAAATCTTAATTCTTTTTTTTTTTTGGTTTGTTTGTTATATCTAAGAGTAGGAACTTTGTCTTCATTATTATACAGACAGTCCTGAACTTACAGTGGTTTGACTTACAATTTCCTGTAAGATGCTGTGAAAGCAATACACATTTAGTAGAAATCATACCGTGAGTACCCATACAGCCATTCTGTTTT